TGTTTTGGGGACCAATTCCGCAACATCTTTTAAAAAGATTTATCTGATTTTATTTTAAAAAGCATAAACGAAATCGGTCTTTTCTGGCCGTGAAATTGGGGATGTCACAATAAGTCCTTAACCCAACCACTCCAGAAGGGTTTTCTATTACCAGATCCATCACAAAGATGGAAGCTTTATAGACAAGTATGTCCAATAGATGTCTGGAATCCATTTTAGGTCAAAATGAGCACTTAAGACCAAAACTCAAGCAAACGTCACACACTTCTACCAAAGACTAGATCCTTAAAATATGATGCTCTTGGGATCTAGGAGAGTCATAAAGTTTCCAACTTTATGAGCTCCATCCTTCCAAACTTGCCCAACATGAATAACAAGGGACGGAAATTCAAGATCTAACCATAAAAAGCCATAAAGCAAGGAACTTGGACACTTACAAAGGTCCAGAGATGCCAAAAGGAGGTCTTTACTTCAGCCAAGAAGCACCACAATCCTTTCCAATGCCTCTTCTTTCTTCACAAGCAACCAAAGTAACCAAAAAGGGCTTATATCTCACAAAGAGACATTAGGGTTAGCATTTCTGCAACTTGAGAATAATGAAGGTTCATAAGGAACCCTAAAAATGAATTAGAGGGTTTAAATACGAAGGGAATCCTAAAAATGTCATGGGCTTGGGCCAGAACAGCTGTCACGTCGTGGCCTTCCTTGGCCACGTCGTGGCGGTTTAGTTAGTATACGATTCATCCAAACATTGTCACGTCGTGGCATCCTCGCGCCACGTCATGGCACAAAGCCTCTTCCACAATTTCATCTTCGATCCTTGATAAATGTAAGCTTAACCGATCTGAAACATGGGTGTTACAACTGATTTACTTACGTGCTTAATTAAGTTTACATAGGTGAGCAAACTTTAAAAGGTCGTCTTCTTATAAATGTTTTTAAAAACAGTTTGAACCGGTTTAATGAACTTTGATAGTTGGATTTTACTTATCCTTAAAAATAGCCTATTTTTCAAAGCAAATTGAATTGCTCATTGACCTAAAACTTAGGTTTATGTGTTTTTTAATGTATTTGGATTGATCTACCACTTGTTATATGTGTTTTTAACATTTGAACTTGTGGATGTCAAATACTTGGTTATATATATATATATATATATATATATATATATATATAGAGAGAGAGAGAGAGAGAGAGTCAAGATCAAATAAAAAGGAAAATTTTGGTAGGAAGGTAAAAAGTTTTTTTTCTACATATTTTTTTAGCGAACAAACAAAATGAATCATTAGATGATTCAAAAGTTAGATGATTCATAAAAAAAATCCCAAAAAAACATCTTCATGATACATTTTTAAGTAAATTAAAAAAAAAATTCACTTTTATTACAATTTTAGTGAATAACAAAAAAATCATTGTATTAATGAATCATCGAGATTTTTTTTCAGAAATTTTCTTTTGTGAATAATGTGTTTTTTTTAGTCATTTGTTTTGTTCGTCAAAACATATGTAGAAAAAAAACTTGTTACCTTCCTACTAAAAAAAATTTCTTACCGGATCTATATCTATATGCAGGAAAATAAGCAATATATAAAAGTTATGGAAACTGGGTGGAATCGACAGTCGAACTGAAAACCGGTCAACACACCGGTCCAAATAAAAAACCGGTTTTTAAAACATTATTGCTTATATAAGTAGCTCTGTTTAATATTTATGAACATCATCGTAAACAAATAATTTAATATGAAATTTACTAAAAAAACAACGTTTGCATCGTAGAATCAACCTCGTGAATAGAGGTGACAAAATTTGACACAAGACGAACTAGACACGAAATAAACGAGTTTTGGTAAGATATTTCAACCCGTTTAAATAAACGAGTTTATATGACACAACACGAAAATTAAACGGGTAAGGTTATGGTTGAGAATTTTCAACTCGAAAATGACATGTTTATTTATATGCAAGTTTTTTGAAGTATTTAAATAAACTAGAAAGATCCAAAACCAAAACCATAAATAAAAGAAAACCTTTGGATCAAGTCACTTTGTAAGGTTGAAATGACTTAGCCGTTTATATCAAGACTTCATTTTTATTTTTTCGTTCTCTTCCAAACTACTTAGTCCATCTGACAACTATCTCATCTTCATGATCTTGTCTTCCGCTTCACCAACTCCTATTATTTCAATTTTGTCATCTGAACTTGTTATGACTTTATGTATTCTGTCCCGCATTATTACTTTTTTCTTTCCGCATGCCCAACTCCTATTTTTTCAACATATTCGGTGTTTCAACCTCACAAAACAAAATATATTTCAAGATATACCCCTAACACAAAACTCGACACGAAAATAAACGGGTTGACACAACATTACACGTTAACATGAAAACCCGCACGACACGACACGATTGTCACGTCTACTCGTGAATATTACAATTGGCTTATTGTATATATTATAGATGCCTCCTCAAAATTGTATCATTTCGTTTAAACTAAAAAAAAAAAATCTTTTATCTATTGTATTCAAAAGATATTGTTTCTTACATCTTAGTTTTTTACTTATCGGAAATGAATGAAGTGGTCCATCCACTGGTACCTATGCATTGAGGGCTTTCATATACTTTTTCTATGTTACCATACATTTTCGTTGAAAGAGGTCCATTATATCACGAAAAACATTCTTCATAAGGGAACCATATCAAATCTTTCTTCCAAAGGCAAAAACACCCAAATCAAAATATTCAAAATAAGCCCATCTATCAATTAATGTTTAGCCTTTAAAAGGCTCAACAACCTTGATGTGTGTATATAAATATATATAGTATGTACATGTCACCAAGATCCCACAATGCGTGTGCAACGTGGTCTAGAATCTTCATATATTAACAAGGTTGTTGATATTTGAGTTCATTTTATTACAACGTCCATGCTTGAGTTTTTAATATTTTGGTTTATGTTATTAAATATCAATTAATTTCTACAATTGCTTAAATTTGATATATATATTTTACAGGTTTAATTACCAAAGTTTAAGAGCCTCTCTCAATGTAATATAAAACCTTAACGACTCTTTGTACTTTTTCTTTATTCGTCAATGGGAAAATGTTTATATATATATATATATATATATATATATATATATATATATATATATATATATATATATATATAAGGGTGAGATCGGTTGAGAACTTTTAGTTTCCCGAGAACCTGAGAACTAAAGGTAGAGCGTTAGATCAAAATTAACTTATTAAGGACATGATCGTATCCTTACCGATCTCATGTAATGTTTATTTTTATGTGTTATTGAACAAAATTAACATAATAAATCAAATTTCGGATATTTTTTTTAAAAATAATTTTTGATTTTTTTTTAAATGGAGATTTTTTAATTTTTTTCAGAAAACATTAATTTTTTAAAAAAATTGAAAAAATATATTTTTTTAAAAAAACTGCAATTTATTAAAAAAAACTGCAATTCTTTTAAAAAAACTGCTTTTAAAAAAAACTGCATTTTTTTTAATAAAAACTGTAATTTTTTCAAAAAAAAACTACAATTTTTTTCGAAAAAACTGCAAATTTTTTTATAAAAAAACTACAATTTTTGTAAACAAACTGCAATTCTTTTTTTAAAAAAAATTGCATTGTTTTTAAAAAAAACTACATTTTTTGTAAAAAAAAAACTGCAATTTTTTCAGAAAAAAAAAACTCCAATTTTATTAATTATCGCTACATATGCATATTTCTTATACTATAATATTCATAAGTAAATCATAAAAAAATCTTATTTTTATTAATCAATCTATAAACATAATAGTATAAGTATTTTATTCGATAAAAAATAAAAAATAAATAAATAAAAACTACAAAGATTCATAGTGTTATCATTTCTTCATATCAAGATTTCCATATTTTCTTCAATTTCACTTTTTACATTTTCAAAATTTTTCACAAATTCTTTCAAATTTACAAGAAAAAAAAATGATTAATGCAAGAACACTCACAAAAATACATATGTATATATCATGTAAGATTCATATGCGATTATATAATGTGATATTCACGTGTGATTGTATCTTTTAAGATTCAAATGTGAAATTCACAAGAAAATAAAAACAAAGAACACTCACACAAAATGCATGTGTGCATATAGACATAATTCATATGTGATTCACTTGTAACTTACATATGAATTACATGTGATTCATATGTGAATTACATGTGATTTATATGTGAATCACATGCGATTTATATATGAATCACATGTAATTCATATTTGATTCATTTGTGAATTACATTTATATGTGAGTCACATGTGTTTTATATGTGAATCACATGTAATTCATATTTCATATGTGATTCACTTGTGACTTACATGTGATTCATATGTGAATTACATGTGAATCACATGTAATTCATATGTGAATTACATGTGAATTACATGTGAATCACATGTAATTCATATGTGAATTACATGTGATTTACAGGTGAATCACATTTAATTCATATGTGATTTACATGTGAATCACATGTATTTCATATGTGATTTACATGTGAATCACATATAATTCATATGTGAATTACATGTGATTCATATGTGAATTACATGTGATTTATCTGTGAATCACATGATTGAAACTAGGTAATTTTCTAAATTTATATTGAAACTAGGGAAAAGCTTACTTTACAGGCATGATTTGCTACAGTAATTTTGAAAATGGTTCTTACAACTCCAACTGAAAATACAAAATCCAAGTTTTTTTTTTTTTTTTTTGGAAAAAATCTTGGATTTTTGTTTCATAATAATACAACATTTAGAATATCATCAGCTTACAAAAAAGGAATTTCTTCAAATAATCATGATTTTATTATAATAAAAACATGTTTGGGTGTAAAAAGTAAAAGTTGGATTGTACCACTGGTCCAAGTTTTGCGTGAGAAAGAAACTTGGAATGCTTCATTGTTGTATCTGGAGACCTAAACTGGATTATTTCAAGAAATTCTAACACCTGCATAAATAATTATTATTACAAAATAGAAATATTCAATATATTTAAAATATAACATAAAGAAAAAATATAATCATACCTTACTCTTGCCAATGGCTCTGTTTAATACTAGAGTGATAACTTTGTTTTTTAAAATCATTTAAAATACATCTTTTTCTTCATTAACTTTTTTTTGGAAATAAACAACACATATGATTTTTAGGAAAGTACCTATTGGCAGGGACATCAATTTTGTAGATTATTTCTTCATCGCCACCAGTGTCTTGATCTTCTTTTAGGTGTTTCTCCTTTCTTATAATTTCTTTCTCAGTTGTCTGGCATATACATGAAACTAGATAAATCAAGCACATCCTACATACATACAAATGGATAAGAATGTGCAAATAGTTACCACATCATCGAGCTCAATTCCAAAGTCGAAGCATAATTCTTCGAACTCGTTTTGTGCTGACATTAAATAATTGAAAGAAAAATAAGATTAAAGGGAACTGATAGAAATTTAAGAGAATATAATAAATTTAGAGTTAAACTCACTGTAAGTGCATCCTAGGGCTTCGAAAAGAAGGTCCCTTCCAACACTAACTGTAGGCATGGTGGATCGAAATGATAGAAACATTTATTTCCCTTTGTAGATTTGCAGATTTGAATGGCTCTGTTCTTGAGAAGATTCAACAGCACAGACGCAACCTGGAAAACCGAAGAAGCATTGTATAATCAAACTCAAGTAGCATTTCAATGAAACTGGTGTATAAAGAATCTGAAATCAACTATCGAAACTTGGATTAACAATGAAGAAGATGAACTAATGAAAACAATAATCGATAAAGTGAAAACGAGAATGCAAGTGAAGCATTACCTGAAAGTATATATATATATATATATATATATATATATATATATATATATATATATATATATATTTAGGAATTGAAAATTCCTCATAGATTTGGTGTTATTTGGAAACAAATTACACGGAGAAATACCTTCGTATTTGGGAGATCTGGAACTAATTACATTGGAATTGTCAAAGAACCGATTCCATGGAACGATTCCGGTTAAGCTCTGGGAAACGAAAACGATAATGGAGATCTCACTTAGGAATAACTTGCTTCAAGGTCATATTCTGGAGACAATCGGAATGACGTCCAGGATTCAAAGGTTGCAATTGGATAACAATCTCTTCGAAGGAAATATCCCGAGTTCGATCGGTGAACTTAAGAATATGACGAATTGGTCGCTCCATGGCAACATGTTAACTGGTGAGATTCCATTAGAGCTTTTCAAAAGTAGGGAATTTGGTTTCTTTGGATCTCGGATCAAATAAAGGATACGAATATTCGGGAGATAAATTGAGATGCTCTCGATCTGGAGGCAGTAAGGAGATGTCAAAGAAGAACGTAAGTGAACACAACACCATCAGAAGTTGAGGCGATTGCGGGAGGAAGGAAGGAGAAAGAGATGTGTCATTGTTGTGTTCTCCCTTGATCTCTCGTCGATGCTTTTCCGGGCGTTGACACCTCCTACAGATTTGATTGGAAACAAGGGATGTCGATGGAGACAGAAGAGAGACGATGAAGAAGGTAATCGATCGATGGCGTGACGATTATTGGACGCGGCCATAGATTTCAGACGGTGGCGTTTGATTTCATCAAACAATTAACGATGACGTTGTAAAAGAAAGAGGCAATCAAGGGATTAGAGAGAGAAAGTCTGAATTTGGGGGAATATCAAGGTGAGAGAGCAGGGGGTTGGTGAGGACGACGATGGTTTTGGGGAGTAATTTGTGGGTTACCTGATCTTAAGGATAGAACATTTTTCTACCGAGTTTATCCTCATGATTATTTTTAATAAACCTGATATGCCACTAAAACATATTAATATTTACAAATTTTTCCACTAATCATCTAAGCCATACAAATAATTGATCTAACGCTCCACTTTTAGTTATCGGGTTCTCAGGAAACTATGAGTTCTCAAATGATCCTTGCTCTCTCTCTCTCTCTCTCTCTCTCTCTATATATATATATATATATATATATATATATATATATATATTATATATATATATATATATATAGGCTTAGGTTATTGTATTCTACTATCTATTGTGTGGATGTACGATTTATTATGGACCAATCATTTTAGTTATTTTAAGAAAGTGATTAATACATATTATTAAATTAAAGATAATAGAAAAACACTATCTAATTCCATTATAAGGGTATTTTAGTTCATTGAGATAAATTTAAATTTTGAAAATTATGAATGTTTAGGGTAATTTAATTCTCTTGATTTAAAAGTTCTGATTTTTTAATTAATGTAATTTTAATTGTAACATAATTTTTAATTATATCCGATGTTATTCTGTTAGAATGACATTCTATTATAATGATATTCTATAAGAATGCTAGAATACATATTTTGGTTAAATAAACTTTTTGAAAAAATACAACATTCTTGAACTATTAGTTGAAAAATAACAAGATCTTTGTATATTCATGGATTTCTGAATGTAAATATAGATTCATAAAATCTTCTTACAGAATAATAGTCTTATACATTTTAATATAGTTATATATATTCCGATAAAATGTCATACAACTAAAATAAATTCTTAAAAAACATAGCATTCTTAAATATACAATCCTTGAAAGAATGCACTTCATCTTCTTCAATGGTTCTGAGTCTAATTGATTCCAACCATTCTTACGAGAATGACATTATGTGATACTAACATCGGATGAGAATTACATTTTTTAAGAATACCATTCTAACAGCATGCATACCACATGATCAGATTCTAACCACCTCTAAAATACAATCAACAAGCCCAAACAAATCAATTTGTATGCACAAGATATCTCCATAGGGATACAGACTGAAAAACAAATTCAAAAAGGAAGTGCACTACCTCTTGGTGATGCACACTTATAAACTAAAAAAAACAAACAAACAAAAAATCCCATTATACCTATGCAAAAATCCTAAACCATTAATTGGATTCCTTGAAGCCATTAACCTGTGAAAAACTTAGGCAAACAATTAGAGCCGAACCTCACATTGCATTGAAAAAAAAAGTGGTCTTGTAGGCATTTCATCGAACACTTAGGGGCAGAAAAATGTAAGAAAATTTTCTAGAAAAAGATACCCACAAATGCGATAGTTTGTACCATCTTTGCACTAGTATTTTTTTTTTTGACAAACATCCAAAACAATATGTTGAGAAAACCACAACAATAGATGGATTGAAACGATCCGAGTTTGTTCGTTAACAACTGATAAAATCCATGGTTTTTCACAAACGTATAATATATTAGTTGAATACTTTTGATAGATCTCATGATACCCGTCAATTACATTATCAATCATGCGTAAATTGATTATCATAAAGGTAAAGGCTATATTGGTCGGGCGTCATTACGAACTCAAGAACAGAAAATTCCAACAGTTAATCAAGTTTCAAATATATGAAGGAAATCATACCAATACCAACAACAGTCAAATCGTCTTCATTTCTCAAAATCCCTAATTTGAGGAAAAGAACATTAATTCAATCAATTTGTTGGTGTGATTATGTGCTCTTTTTTACTAAAAGGTGCGAAGAAGACACATAAAGATAGTTTGGTGTACTCAATAATTACATCAAAAAGTTGGTAGGCATGATGAATTCTCACAGATTACAACACTTCAGATCAAAATAAAGTTTAGTTCAACTTCTGTTTAAAATGATTGTGAAGATTACAAAAAAAAGGATTACTTACATATGTGTGTGGGTTCGTCGATTTAGGAAAACAATAACAACCCTTGAATTGCAGTTACTGACATACCTGATGCCCAACTAGGATAAAAAAACTAAAAAATAAACTAAGGGGAAAACAAATTGCATCAAATTCTTCTGCGAAATCATTCCTTGTTAAATGATTCCCAGCAAGATTCAAGAAAGTCTATATATCTTAAAACTGTAACTGAACCAGAACAACAAAATTTTGATTCACTATGTCTTTATTCCTTTGAAAACGGGAATGAAAGCCTATACATTTTAATGCCCAATCCGTGAACTTCTGGACTTTAGCACCAACTCCAGCTTTTAACACTTCATCCCGATTACACTCCTGTAAACGTTCATGTAACCTTCAAAAAGAAATAAAAGGTTCAGGGTATTATCAATCAAATAAAAGAAAAGATAAAGGGGAAGGGTAAAAGAACATTATCATTTTTTCCATTACTGATACCGTATTTAGAAGGCTCATAGTGCGATTTAACAAGATGAAACAGAAAATACGATATTGAATCCTCTTTGTGCGGATTCTAGTAGGAGAGAAAGAGAGAAATCAGAACTCACACCATCTGATCGATCATACCAGGGGCCTTCGAAAAAAACTAATAAAATGCTGGTGGAGATAGTGGTGTGGTGCGGAAATAACGACACTGATGAAGATGAAATCATCGGTGGAGGCGGTAATCGGGTGATTGCAGATGGTAGTAGATCGACAGAGAGAGGTGGGAGTAGAGTGGAGGCAAGTCAAAATTGGAAAAAGGGTAGTAGAACTCCTGATCCATTTTTGTAGTCAATTCCAATTTAGCAGAGGTGCGGTGGTCGGCGGCCAATATATGGTTTTTAGAGAAAGAAGGGGAATGGGTGATGGTGTTACAAGGAATAAGAACAAATGTAAATAAAAGGGGAGAAATTAGGTTAACAGACAATGTAATTAGCATGATTTTATGGAGTATTTGTGGAAGTTATTTATCAAATTACTAAATTACCCTTATTTATTTATTTA